ATTTTGATATTTTTATGTTAAACCGTTCATGTCTGCCAGTCATATAATGGAGGTCTATGGGGTCCACCTCAAAGAGCATGCACAGAGAAGTCCAAATTAAACTTGATTTAATGACTCGTAAATGTAAGTACACATTGATGACCTAAGACACTAAACGAGCGGTTTGTGTGAGAAAACGAACAATATTTATATTGTTTTTACCTCGTGTAATCACAGCCACGTCCAAGTGATCTGAAGTCGCGGGCGCTTTGTGGCTGTGGTTACAAGAGGTAAAAACAACATAAATACTGGTCCTTTTCTCACACAAACCGCTCGTTTAGTGTCTTAGGCCATCTACGTGTACTTACATTTAATTTGGACTTCTCTGTGCATGCTCTTTGAGGTGGTGACCATAGACCTCCATTATATGACTGAGAGAAAATAACAGTTTGACCTAAAAACATCAAAATTGAAAATACTGTGGAAACAAAGACACCTACATCTTGGATGTCATTGAGGTAAGCGAAATATCCCTTTAAACCACTAACGACTGCTCTGCAAAATTAATGACAAACAGTCGATTAAAATGTCAGCTGCTCTGAAGGTCACTGTAAAATTCAGTGTGTGATTACAGAGTGGTTAATAAATATGAGATGGTGTTGTTGAGGTAATTGTAATAAGTTATTTCAGCATGTGCTGCTTGACAGGACAGGGGGAGGTTAAAAAATAAATAAATAAAACAAAAACCTAAAAATTAGCAAACCTACTCCAAAAGAACTGAATGCTTTTACAGCAAAAATCGTGTATACAATAAATACTTGTGCACTCACTCAAAATGGCATCATAAAAGACCCCATTCAGCTTCCTGTAGCTCAGGTTTCTGACATTTTCTGTCTTGTTTTGGAAAGAATCAAACCAATGTGATTCTGTACACCATATGGACCACACAGGCCAGGCCAGCTTAAACCAGAACACATGGTAAACCATGCTGGGTCACCACCAGACAGACCATCTTAAACCAGCAAACCAATTTAGGCTGGTTTAAAAGAGGTTAAGAATGTGTGTTTGTCTCAATCCAGCAACCAGGGAAAAAAATACTATCACATTTCACAAACTCCCTTTGTACCTAACTGAGGGCTTTTACAACAAATGGCTCATCTAATAACAATGCTCCATGGAACCATGGCAACCCCTGAATAATGCTAATGCCAAGATACAAACATTTATTGTAATCTAGGCTATGAAGGGTCTGGTGACATTTCAAAAAAGACTTTCAGGAGATTGTTGCATAAAGAAGGTTAAATTAACCTGTCAGCGGCAGGTAGATGCACATAAAGCACCAAGAGTGTTTGCAAACAGGTAGCCTATTTCTTCGGTACACACACAAAAAAAAAAAAACCCCCACATAATTCAGACTTCATCACTCTACCAAAATAACCCAGTGTGATACATGGCCCCTGTCAGGCCTCCAAAACCCCAAACTAATCTGTCAAGACAGGCGCTCAATCCAACAGCCAGTGCAATAGTCTCGTTCTTGGTAATGGAAACTTAAATGGATACATGACCCACAATTAAAATTGTGATTATTTAGTCATCCTAACAGTGCTTTGACTTTTTTATTTATTATTTTATTATTTAATATGTATTTATTTAATGCAGTGTGGACAATGAAAGCAAATAGGGCCCTATATACCAAGGGTGTCTGCCATTGTTCATATACCAGTAGTGATGGTGTACAATGAAGACGTTGCCATGTCGCCAGAAATACAGTCATCAGTGTCCCAATGTTTAGAGAGGGTCCTTATCAGTGCCCGAATTCATGAACACAATATACTGATTCATGACCTAGGAAGCTAGGTAGCTGATTGAGAGATGCACCCAAAGTCTTCAGAAGCCAATGAATATATGAATAGATTTGTTAAGAAGTTATTCCTCAAAAATGATATTCACGGCCACAGTGACCATTCACTCTCATTGTATGGGAAAGCGCTTGAATATTGTGCAATAAATTTGTATTTGTGTTCCACAGTAGAACGTCAGTCATAGGATTTTGGTTGACATTTCATTTCTGGGTGAACTATGCACTTAAACATAATGACCATACTTTAAAACTGAAATTCAAATGATTAAAGGTTGCTATTTTAAAAGGAGGGACTGAATTTTTAAACAAATAAATTTAAAGGGCAAAAAATTACAGCCTGCCATTATATGCATCAATCAACCAGTAAAACTACTCTCAAATATTTAAATAGGTGCTCTCCCTGAAATAATCTAGATACCAAACTACTGTACTGGCGGAGGCAACTGGAAAAAAAAAAAAAAAAAAAAAAAAAAAAAAAACAAGCGTGCGAGCTGTCACACTAGGTACAACTCACTCTGATGCGTCTTACTCACCGCTGTTTTATGATAGGAATGAGTGAGGAACGAGTATGTCACAGGGGAATGCCTCGTTTCAGGAATGAATGGAATTAAACTACAATGTGATTGTTTGATTCAGCAAGGCTGAGCAACGCGTTTGGAGTGCAGGAGTGTAGAGAGTCAGCGTTTACACGCATTGAAACACGGTCAATAAGTTATACTCATTCTTCCCTTTTTTTTACACCAAAATATTACAGCAATGTCACAGCAGGTTGGCAAATACATTCATTTTTGATTAGTTGAAATGTCACAATGACAATTTTAGTCTCATTTGAAATCAATTACACATTCAAAATACTGTACATATACAATGAGCTTTAAACGTCTGAGACCACTAGTAGAAATGCTCGTATTTAGCATATTTTTAATTTAATAAAACAAAAATCATTATAAAATATCATCAACATAGCACTTTGTGTGAAAATTAATTTCCATTTCGGTTTAATTTGTCTCACACTGCAAGTCTAAAAGCTGTTGGTAATGTAAGCATCTTGTGCTTCATTGTAAGAAAATCTCATCTTCTGTACAAACAAGGGAATTCACTTGGTGAACAAAGTCACAATTGTACTTATTTGATCTAGAAAATGTACAAAATCTTAAATCATTTTGCATAATCAACTTGAAAACATGTCTTTGTGCACTTCTACACAATTTTAAAAACTTTTCTGTTGCAAGGATTAAATTAGATTTGGTCACCTATACAGTCATTACAAACCAGAACTTCCCAGTCTCTCTCTTTTGTGAACACTTGGCAAAAAAAGAGAAGTTGGGACTTTGCAACTTAAGAAGCATCAGAAATTATCTTCTGTAATGTGACGTACATCCGAATGTAATGGATTATCATTAAAATGTGACTAAATGCTTGAAGAACTCCTGCATACGCCACCAGAGAGTGTATGTAGTTTCATTGGAAGGTCCAGGTATGACAATTCTATTAATCATTAAATTAATGAAACGCATGCATTGCTCAATCATTAACAATACGATATGAAATAGAAAGCCGACAGGGAGAACAAACATTCATTTCATGCCAACTTTAAAGATTAATCTTAATTGCATTCTTAGACACAATGTTCCAAAATACTCTAGTGAGTCTTATTAAAGTTCATCAGATGTCATTGAACATGCACACTGAAATAACCAACAATGCAAGCATACAACACTAAACCATCAAGTGAAACTTGACTAATCTAAGTGTTCCTAAGTGATCTTTCCTCGGCTCTTATAATAACAAAACGCCTACCGGAGAATGCAAAAGGTTAATGGGTGTTTACTGAACATACTTGGCAAGGTGTCATTCATCTCTTTGGTGGAAACTAACAGACCTCTCAGAGGAAGCTTGCATAACACATAGCATGTGAAATAATCTTTCAACACACTAACAGTAAAGATGGAGCTCTTATCGTAGGTTCGATTAAAATATTGGGAGAATACAGCAGTATACAGGGTCTAACAGTTCATTCATTAAAGCAATTCAATGGTAAACTAAACTTAAGGTAAAGTAGGCATACATTGGGTTACAAGGCACAGCACTTATCCGTATAGTTAACACCTAAGTTTACACTGTAAACAAGTCAGAAAACAAGCTTCTTATTTTAACATTACATAGTATTACCATGAGGGACAGGTCACCCTCACTTGCCTTTGACCAAGGTTAAACATTCCTGAAAGGGAAATCACCAATGTCTACAGAAAAGTAAACGAGAGGAAAAGTATGCCACATTGCCACCCCTGCGGATGTAGAATAAATCACCTATTACAATACGCACACACACAAACGGGAGCTTCAATGGATAGTTCACCTGGATGTGAACTATCCATTGAAGCTCCCGTTTGTGTTTCCAGTGGAAATTTAAATTTGGTCATCATTTAGGTTTGGAATGACATGAGCTTGAGTAAATGAGTATTTTTGGGGTGAACTATGCCTTTAAAACTGAACTTGTAAACAGTCCATCTATAGTTTTGACCCAAGCAACTTTAGGAGAACTGAAAGGAGAGTGATTTCGTGTCTGTGTTTCACCAATATCACTCTCATACGAAGCATGTGTTCGTGTATGCAGGTCAACCGTCCAGGAAACACATTATAATGTATACTTCAAATGCTTTGACAACATACAGACAGCTTGACAACATACATACTCAAAAAAAAAAAACACAGGAAGTCAGATGTGTCCACTCTGCGATAACAGCAAAATCGAGACTACACTTCTTTGACAGAATGCACAATATACACAAACACCTTTGAAAATGGTTTGGATAAAAGTAAACTCAAACACTACATATTTGATAATGTTTGAGTCAGTTTGCTAACCTGAGTCTGTCTCCATCACTAACGTTGAACCCATTTAATACATTTCTTCATAATTTATATTTCTTGATATTACTTCTACAATTTATTTGTTTTGTTAAAATTGAATTGCTTCTTTCTCAGTGCTCTACAGTGTTCCCGTATTGTTTTTATAATATGTTACTTTACTAATAATAGTATTACTTATATATTTGCAAAGATGGTACAATAATAGCACTGCATAATTTGTCACCGTACAACGTTGTGCTGGCAAAACAAATGTGGTTTAGTAGAATTGAACTATGGAAAGACTCACCTGTAACGGGTTTAGTGCTCGGGCTGAAACAGCAGGTCGTTTAAACGCTTTTGGCTCTTCGGATCTCTACTTCTTGCGACACACCTTGAACAAAAGACAGGAAACAACGCGAAGCCAATGGCAGCCTTTCAGAGGCGGAGTAAACAGAAGTTGCTGTACGTTAGCTAGCACTTCTTCAAAATGTCACTGTTCTGCGTACCACGTGGGAACCAAAAAGTACATTTTTAAAGTCATTGCACGAATTTAAGTTACTAATTTCCCCTTCCTTCTCTAAGGACATATCTCGAGACCAGCCAACTCGTGAAATGACTAAGCAGGCTCCAGTCCTCTTCAGGTGGGAATGATGGTTCTTCTATTGTCCTGCCCTTTTTCCGAAAACCAACTGTACTTTTGTGTTCACTGACTAAAGCGAGTCTGGGGAGCACAGGAGCAGGTGAGGGAGGAGATGCAAATCATCCAGAGCCGGGGACTTTACTTTTGCCTCAACGGCTCTGAGTCTGCACCGTTGGTGATAAACATTATCCAATCACTATCGAGTATTCCACTTTCTGCGGTTAGAATGTTGAAAAACACATGACCGAGGACATCATCTATGACAGAGGAGGCTTTCCTCCCTTGGTATTTCTATTTCAACCAATCATTGTAGAGACGTAAACTTCTGACGCTGATGGAGAGTAAAGTATGAGATATTGAATTTGAGTATTTGAATTTGAGCAGAAACTACAAATTAAGAATGAATTAAAACTAATTAAAAATGAATTAAGACACTGCCTAATTGGCCATATAGGCTAACGGTAAAGCAATGAGCTTTACTAAACGGAAAAAATTACTATTTTAACACGGACATTTAAAGGGACAGAAGAATAGATTTTTTTTTTCTAGGTGAGTGCTTTGTGCTACTGCTAGGTGAGTGAAATTATATATATATATTAGGGCTGTGCAAAAGTTAATTGCGATTAATCGCATCCAAAATAAAAGTCTGTGTTTACATAGTATATTTGTGTGTGCTGCATATAATTATTTTGTATATATAAATACACACACATGCATGTATATATTTAAGAAAATGTGTTATTCCTATATAAAATATTTATATTTATATAATATAGATTATGTATTTATATATATATATATACAGAATTTAAGCGCAAATAATTCTTAAATATATACATGCATAGGTATTTATATATACAAAATAATTATATACAGCACACTCAAATATATTATGTAAAACAGACTTTTATTTTGGATGCGATTAATCGCAATTAACTTTTGCACAGCCCTAATATATATATATATATATATATATATATATACACACATCCTTTCGAGCTTGGCCTATTTGTCTGGCACTGGACACATTCTCGAGAATTAACTTACTGTGATAGGCCTAACGTTACATGTCTGCAGCTGATAGGAAAATGAAATATACATTAGTGGAACATTAGACATTCACTATTTTCATTCACTGCTTTGCTCTGCATCCCCTAATTAAATATAAGGTAAGCTATGTATACCACAAATTAGACTTAAAACCTCTGTCTTTTTACTAAACCTTATCATTGTCATTCATGTTACATAAGTGAAAACATTCAGAATTGCATACACCTAAGCTAAGGGTAATTGCTATATGTATGACAAGTAAGATGAACAGCACAGATAAGACACTTGAAATGATGTCGGGGCAATAGTTGAAATAGTTCATCAGGAATGCAGGATAATACAGGTCAGTACTTGTTTATATTCAAGTAATATTGCAAAATAAACCCCACAAGTTGTGAGACAAACTGCATAAGTTGTACATTTTAAAAAATGCAACAACCAAAGCTCAGCCCAGTTTGATGAGCATTTGATTAAAGAAGTTTTAGTTGAAACGTCTGGTTTCAGGTCAGAAATTGTCGATACTGCTGGTTTAGGGAGTCTTGAAAAGAAAGAACATAATGAAATGTCTCCCTACGTCACAAACATGCATATCAATATAGCAAACGTTGCAAAAAAAATTACTGAAACAGATTTCTTGAAGATGTAGTTTTTGATCTGTAATATAAATATTTCAAATAAATACAATAGGCCTACTGTTGAAGAAATTCAGAAATTGCTCATACCAATGAGACAAATTCTATGCCTCAGTAAATATGAAAACATTGTACTTTATTTAATTTTTATAAAACAATTAAACATCTACTCATATAGGCCTAAACAAAAACATTTTGAATGTAAATTTCCATTAATTATTCATCAAGCGTATCCCAATTATCTTCATTACTCAAGAGATAAAGGCGCTCCAAGTTTTTTTAAAAAGCCATTGTAATCTTTCTTAAAATTTGCGTGTTTTTTTATACTTAAAAAGAATTTAAAACCAACTTGAAATGATTGTGCCACTTAATAATTTGTCAAATATTTATTTCCATCTAGTGGTCAATAATAGTAATTACATTACTTCACAATTGTGCTCAGAGTGGTTATTAGTTCTGATAGTAACTGATTATATGTAATCTGGATTACTTAATCATATTTCAGACATTACATCCTTGTAATTATTATGTATATTATGTATGTTATTATATATTATGTTTTAAAATATGTCATAATCAGACAGTTACTTTTTATTGATGACAAGATTACTCAGTATTCACAAAATGGCAATCAATTATTCAGAATTCATTGTTTCCCCAATTGTTGTTTTTATATTTTACAATTTTTTTAATAAACATTTTGTTTTTAGAAAAATATATATTTGAAAAAGGTCAAAGTTAGGTCAAAAGTAATCTAAAAGTAATCAATAGTAGTCAGATTACATTACCTAAAAATGTGTAATGTAACTAATAGATTAGCCTATTTTAACTACAATTTGTTTTGTATATTTTGTATTCAGTTATAGACTTTTTTGTAAGTAATCCACCCAGAACTGTTTTTCTGATTTTATTTATCAATTTTAAGTATATATATATATATATATACTTATACATATATATATATATATATATATGAAGAGTTCAGATGCAAAAGCCTCTAAATGCCATTTGAAATTTTCTTCTTTAATGATGATTTTTATCAAACTTGTATATTTAAGTTCAGTAATTTCACTTAAATGGCAATGATAATTACCTATTAATTGTTATTTAAGTGAAATTACTGAACTTAAATATACAAGTTTGATAAAAATCATCATTAAAGAAGAAAATTTTTAAATGGCATTTAGAGGCTTTTGCATCTGAACTCTTCATATATATATATATATATATATATATATATATATAAAGATAAAGATAATTATCTGCAAAAAACTTACATTTAAGCGTCTTAAATTTGGCATCTTCACAATGAATTCTAAACTTTTAGACAAATTAAAAAACTATTACTTACATTGACATTTTTATGTATCAAAAAACTCAAGGTTTTTATATAATTTAATATGTTAAGATGTAAAAATAAATGGTCCAAATGTTTAGATGGTCTGAGAAAGGGGGAAGTTACAGTCCTCTTGTGAAGTTTCGAGCACAATAGAGTTTGGGGGGTGTGGTGTTGGGCAGGGCAAAGGATGTGGCTTAATGTGGGACTGGACTTCACAGACTGATGCTCCTCCCACCACCAATGAAATCTTTCCTTTTAACTTCACACACTGCCCCTGAGCACCACACATGACACGCACACACACTGTGGCACACAAAAACAGACAACAGGGCCTAGACAAAATCAGGATATGACATCATACACAGGAAGGAAAGCCAAGTAACTTTTCAGCTTGTTGTTTTTACTTTATAGTGTATTCTTAACTGAGTTTTGGAAGGATAAGACCGGCTGATGAGTGGGAAAGGGAAAGAGTCCTCACAAGACAATTTGGATTTGAACTGTTCCCTCTTGGAAAGAACAGGAGCCAGAGGAATTCTTTTCAAGTTTCCCCACAACATTCCAAGTGTCTACAGCGGGACTAAAGCCAAATTCTTTAGGTAGGGATCTTAAAATCTCTACTTCTTTTCATTAACAAGATGCTTTCATGAGTGTTAATGTAGTAATGTCAGAGCTCATGTTTCGTGGGGGCTCAGAGAAAGCGTGATCAGACACGTCAGTGTTTGACGTGATTGTTGGAGGGGTGGACAAATAACTCCTCTGTTCTTTGGTTCCATATTAAATGATTTGAGTTCAGTCCAACCTCTACAAACTCTTTACTTGAGAAAGTAACATGTTGGTTAGAAACAGGAATATGTCTGCTTTATAGAATTGAAAAATATATAGAAGAGAGTAAACCAAGTAGGTAGTACTAAGTGCCTTTTAATTGTGTGAAAATACTGTGATATGCATTATCAGTTACAGCAACAAACGCCAGAAACACACTTATGAGAGCTCTAAAATGTTCCTGCAAAATAAATCTCAACATGGGCTATGAGAGGTCGGTGTAAGAGAAACTTTGACAGTTTATCTATAGTAACCAGGCTTTCTGTGAATACATTTATGGGAGGAGAGAGAAAGAGAGATGGAAAGAAAAACAAGACTTATCAAAAAAAGACAAAGAAAGGATGGACTTAAACATGGATACAGGACGTTAAATGAAAACAGAAGCAGGGTTTGATTGTACGGCTGAAGAGACACTTTAAAGTCCCTCCAAAACGCATCTCATTTCAGCCAGTTCGAACAAACACAGGAAGTTATGAAAATGGTGATGTGGATAAAACAACGCAAATGGAAACTTAATGCATAGAGAGAATTAAATGAATTGTTTGCTTGCAGTGGTCTACTTATGGAGTTTATATGCATTATTCAAAGGTTTGGGGTCAGTATACGTTCTTTTAAAGAAATTAATACTTTTGTTCAGAAAGGATTTGATCAATAGATTGATCAAAAGTGACAGGAAAGTAGGTAAAAGTAACTTTTGTAAACAATTTTTTTTTTTTTCCATATTTGTTAAAACTGTCATTATTTCCTGACAGTAGACTCACTATGAGACAGATAATCTGTAAAAAAAAAAAATCAATCTTCTGGCTCCTCCCAGTGGTCCTATTGCCATGTGCAGAAATACACTGCTCCCGGTCAGAAACAACCAATCAGAGCCAGGAGGAGTGTCTTAGCAGTGTCAATCACGCTCGTGTACGCCCAAACTCAAGATTACCGGTGTGCTGCATCTGTGCTAACGCCGGAGAAACAGCTTTATTGAAAAATAAAGAATTAGACGGAGCCCTTTAACTCGGTGTCAAAACTCTAGCGGCGTAATGTGGATAAAATGTCACACACTGTTTAGCCTAAAATGCTAGTACTGGGGGCATTGACTAAGTAAAAAGAAATCGCTAGTTTATACCACTAACAAGGCTCAAAATAGCCCCACACTAACACAGTAACATAAAGAGGGTCCCTACACGCAAAACGAAGCATTGAGAACTTTGTACAGACCGTTTAATAAGAAGATACTTTATAAAGACAGTTCACTTCATGTATACAGACAGGAGCCATCTTGGGAAATAGTCTCGATAAGTCGATCCCCGAACGCCGTTCATACAGTTCAGATCACTCAGCACGACGTTCGTGGTTTGACTTGTCGTGACTGTTTTCCAAAGATGGCCGCCTGTATACACGAAGTGAACTGTCTTCATGAAAGTATCTTCTTATTAAACGGTCTGTACACTTACAAAGTTCTCAATGCTTCGTTTTGCATGTATGGATCCTCATTATGTTACTGTGTGAGTGTGGGGCTATTTTGAGCCTTGTTAGTGGTATAAACTAGCGATTTATTTTTACTTATTAAATGCCCCCATTACTAGCGTTATACGCTAAACAGCTTTTAGAGATAAAACTCTTTACATTCGATTATCATGAAAACAAATCCCAGGGAACGGTCGACTAGGTACCGATGTTTTATTAGACCAAAGGTTCATTTTGCACCGGAGTTCTCCTTTAAGGACCAATCAGCCTGCGACATCTAGAGTTTCATGCCAGAACTTGGTATATCTTCCGAAATGTATATATGTATGTTTATATATTAATATTTAAAAATATATTACAGAATTATATTATATAATAATAGAAATACTGTATAATATATTCGCCAGGACTGGCATAAATTCGACCTACAACATTGTGACGGACTGATAGGGAGCATGCCAAGATGCGTGAAAGCTGTGATTGAACTCTTCCTAAGTGAAAACATTAGTATTGTGTTGTTTAAAAATCAACATAAACCTGTTTTCTTTGCATGATACACGGTCTGAAAACCAGTTTCTGCATTTTCTGTAAATAAATGCTCTAAATGACAAATGTTGTCAGTAGTTTGTAGAATAAATCAAAAATGCAAATTTTACTCAAACAGATAAACATGCATATAAACAATAAATCCAGAGAAACTGCCAATTTTGCTGTGGCCTCATGAAGAGTTCAGATGCAAAAGCCTCTAAGTGCCATTTGAAATTTTCTTCTAGAATGATCATTTTTATCAAGCTTGTGTATTTAAGTTCAGTGATTTCACTTAAATGGCAATGATAATTACCTATTAATTGTTATTTAAGTGAAATTACTGAACTTAAATATACAAGTTTGATAAAAATCATCATTAAAGAAGAACATTTCAAATGGCATTTAGAGGCTTTTGCATCTGAACTCTTCTTATATATATATATAAGAGAGGCATTGCTTTACTGTCTTCTTCTCTCTAGAAACTACCTTATCGGATGGGACGAGGGACCAAGGAATCATAAAAGTGAACATTCACAACTGTCCGGATCCTGACGGGATCTGACTCCTCCGCCACCCTGCTCAGTTCAGCAATGGCTCTGTGCCTGGGTCAGGTTTTCAGCAAAGACAAAACATTTCGGCCTCGAAAGCGTTTTGAACCTGGGACCCAGCGTTTTGAGCTGTACAAAAGAGCCCAAGCGTCTCTGAAATCGGGCCTTGACCTGAGGAAAGTGGTGCAGCTGCCGGATGGGGAGAACATTAATGACTGGATAGCTGTGCACGTGGTGGATTTCTTTAATCGAATCAACCTAATCTACGGGACTGTGAGCGAGTTCTGCACTGAGAAGAGCTGTCCCATCATGTCTGGAGGGCCACGTTATGAATACAGATGGCAGGATGGGGATCAATACAAGAGGCCCACCAAACTGCCTGCTCTTATATACATGAACCTCCTGATGAACTGGATCGAGTCACTCATCAATAATGAGGACATCTTTCCTACACGAGTAGGTCTGTGATGTCAAATGTGTTTTCCTGACATCTTTATTGCTGTGATAGGGCCTCTAGTGCAGTCTGTCAATATCATGATGCTATTTTTTTTAAGTGCTAAGTTAATAATTTAATATTTTTTACAAAAAATATCAGGGTGCATAGCTGTCCTGATATCATAATGAGGAAACACACCATTTAAACAGTGAAATTCTTGAAACCTTATTGAGAAAAAGAAAAGCTTATGTAGTTATTATTATTATTATTATTTATTAGAAAGAATGTTTTTAACAAAACTGCTTCACTGACAATTAATATATTTGAAAAACCTTTGAGTAACAGTGCAACCAACATGTAAACATTTAAAAAAAAAAACATAAAACATGAAATTATAGACACCTGCTGACTATCAAGAAAAAAAAATCCCTTAAAATGTTTAAAAACCTTTTTAATGATAACATATCAACCTCTTATAATAAAAATATATTTTATTATAAAAATACCTTAATATATGTGTATAAGGAAAATATGTTATTACTTCTTATGGTTACAACACATTTTTAGAGACATATTTTCAAAATATGAAACCAACATGAATACAAAGAGTACATTTCTTTGTGTTTTACGAGGTTTTCCTATCTTTTCAGACTCCTGCATTTGTGATTTTTATTCTTTGATAACCTTAACATATTAATGAATGAGTATGAAAATTAAAATAAATAGAACAAACATAATTAGGCAGAAATATTAATGAAAAACTGGGCTGAGAAATTATCCAGTTAAGTTTCTGAGGAATTCCTGTGTGGTTTGTGGGGCCAGGGAACACTAGACACATACTTCTGTCTGGAAAAAAATGATATTAATCTGGATAGAGTTACAGAAGCTATACAAGAACTGCCAACAATTCATAATTCCACTGCCTGAACTATTTGCTAAAACCCTTGAGAAATACTCATAGGCTTTTTCTCCTTTAAATACCATTTGAATTTTCTCATGGAAGAAAATCATAGAAGTACCATCTTGAAATGTGTTTGTGATACAATGCGATGTGGTAAGGGTGACACTGGTTTTCTTCTGTTTTCAGGAGTCCCTTTTCCAAAGAACTTTCAGCAGGTGTGCAAAAAGATTCTGAGTCGGTTGTTTCGGGTGTTTGTACATGTGTACATCCATCACTTTGACATGATCTGTAGTATGGGGGCTGAGGCTCACATCAACACCTGCTACAAACACTACTATTTCTTCATCTCTGAGTTCAGCCTTATCGACCACTCGGAGCTGGAGCCACTGGTGAGAGAGCTGCGCATTCATTACTTTTATAGAGGGGCATGATTGTTATGAACTGACTCACAATGTAGTAATAATAAATATTATTATACACAATTATACACGTTGGGGGTAACACATACAAGTAACGCGGGTGACTATGTAATCAGATAACGAGTAATGCAGTTACTTGTTCAAATAAGAAACACAAGTTATTTACTACAAGTGCAGTGGTGTAAACATGATGGTTATTGTAGTTCTAGACAGTGGCGGAGCCACAGGGTGTCCCTTGGCTTAAGCTTGGCCACCCCTCTCCTTTTGGCCACCTTTTTTTTTTTTTTTTTTTTTTTTTTTTTACAAGAATTGCGTTTTTAAAACACAGAACCATATCTTAAAGGGGGGGTTTGTTGTTTTTTTCTTTGCATGATTGTGTTTATGGGGTGCAATATAACATGTATTCGCGGTTTTCGGGCAAAACCCCATTCAAAAATCGCGTAGACTTTAGAGCGAGGGAACCGGGAGTGCTAAAATGCTAATTTCCGCGTTTTGGCCTGCAGAGTGACGTGATAACTCCGGCACACTATTAACTCATCTATCACATATGTCAAAATAAAATGCGTAATTTTTAAATCCATAAAATAACTAACGTTACATTCTGCCATTTATGTGCATGTTGACTTCCGCATTGTTCACATTCTCACACATATGGGGTGCTTCTCAATATCCCTCCTCGTCTCCTCGCTCCTCCGTCCTCCCTCCTATGACCCGGAAACCGATCGAGCTCAGCCATCTTGAAGGACATCTCAATTCTCTAATTGCACCGTGAGGAGTCGAGGATCGAGGAGATAGGAGGCTTCCTGAGGAGTCATAAGCGAGGATACACAGGTGCATCCTACGCGGAACTGTTATATTCACTAAACGTGACGCACGTGTCAATTCTCCTCCCCCTTCACATCGGTCACAATCATTTTAATTTATACTTTACTTTTGCAGTTTATATAAACCACACATCTCAGATATTTCAACAGTATAGCCTATCTTTATTATTATTTGTTATGAATTTATTAAATAACCAAACTTCAACATCATAAGGGCAGATCCTTTTAGCGCTGCTGATCGACACTGTGGTGTGATGCTCGAGTGATCAAGTATTCCAATGTATATAAAAAAGCTTTTATTCGATTCCTCTGTCCTCCTTTCCTTTCCTCGCTTCCTTCCCTCGCGTCCTAAAGGGGGTGGAGCTGAGACGCAAGGAAAGGAAACAAGGAAAGGAAACGAGGATGCACAAATAAGAAATGAGAAGCACCCATGGATTCAGAGATGTCTCCTCCCTTTTTAATAGGTATGATAGAACGGTATAGATTCTTTATTTTGACTAATATAGAAAGTTGAAGAGTTAATTGATTATATAAAATTCAATGAGGAATAAGTAATCTTTGAACTACAGTGGTTATCTGCATGTCTCATCCATGAAGGTGCAACAATGTTGGCGGTTTTGAGAACCAGAACCATGCTAACTGAGCAAGTTTTATGACTAAAGAACTTTAGCTAGTGTGTGTCCCCTTTATTAATATGTCTGGAGGTGGTAACAAGTAGTTAATAATAATAAAGAGACATCAAATTCACTCAGTATTCCATGATTTATAATTCACTACTCTCTCAATTACAATTGAATACAAATGAACTGTGTAGAAACAGTCCAATACATTATTTAAACTAATTATTGTGTTAAAATAATTAAGATTTATGTGCCACCCCAGACTGTTTGCTGTCCCGGCTCCGCCACTGGTTCTATACGAAATGTGAGCAGGCGTTTACTCATCTCACTTGGACAAAAATACATTCAGTATTCCTCAAAATGAATAAAAACATTGAAATGCAAACTCAGAAAATTATCCAAACCTACAACAATTATGTTAAATTACACTAATAAGTATTTAGTCTCACTTTATTAATCAATGTCTTTGCTGCTGACCTTTAATGATCCAATTAAACCATACCAATAAGTAAAAAAAAAAAAAAAAAAAAAATGAAAATCACGTTTGTGTTCCTTTTTTTCCCCTTCTTCTCCTCTTGCATCATTCTGTGATCCAGAATGGCAGCACAGCTGAAAAGTTTGAGCGGCGACCCCTACTGTACAGTTGTGATTTTGCATTTCCTTCAGCCTTTTTTTTTACTTTTGAAAAAAAAAATAGAACTCTTGTTATAAAAAAAATAAAAAATAAGCCCAGCCCAGGTAAGAAAAGTAACACAAAAGTAACATAACACATTACTTTCCATGAAAAGTTACTTTTTTAGGGAGTAACACAATAAAAACAAAAATCCCAACAATGGTGCCAATTAGTTTCTTAAAGCAAAATGCACTCATGTTTTTTAGCTAACTTGTGAGTTTTGATGAACAACTGCATCCTGACAGCACATTGCAAATGTGGTATATGTTTGTCCTGATAATTGTGTTTTTTCTGTCTTTACAGAAAGAAATGACGGAGAGGATCTGCCATTGAAAGATGTGGAGAATGGATGTGCATCCGAAAGCACAAAAAACTTCAATCATTAAGGCCAAAATAATAATGTGCTTGAGGTCTGATCTAAGATCAGGCGAGGTCTGAGACTCTCAAATGTGCTAAACTGCACTACAACTTTGCTTCAATATTTCTGAAATACTATGGGTCCAGAAATTCAATACATGTCCCAGAGACAGTAAATGTTTAAATTAAATATCTCAGATTGTGCAGTATTGATATGAAATGATGCATTGATTGCTTCTGCATACAGTTTTTAGCATTTCACAATGTGACTGTGAGACTTCTGCTGAGTTTGAGATGTGACATTGCTCTGTCGAGTATGTAGCAGCGGAAGCAATGTTAGTATTATTTTTATTGAACCAGGGCATGTGCAGTAAAAAAAACAGCAACTATGGTGAATGATGAGGAATAGCACTCCAGTATTGTTCTTATTTCAGGACATTTTGTTCTGAAAATGTGCTGTTTTTGCTTTTGTATTTTTGCATGCAAGTTAAAAATATAAACATTTTAAATTACTCTCTTTCTTTTTTAAACTGGTTGTGAAACCAGAAGTTTCTCAAAGCAATGAAATATCACTTATACTTTACCTTATACTTAAGCTTCAGTATACTTAAGCTTCATTATTCTCACTTATATCATTCTCATCACAATTTTAGAATGGATGAAATATAGTAATTAAAGAAGACCTACAATTTTACGAGTAAGGTTTGACCGATTCATCAAAAGGAAACCAAGCAGAATTTACTATTGCTTGCAAGCAATATACAGCAAACGCTCAGATGTTTTGAAAAAAGCATGCATTTTCAAAATGCACATTCCGTAGGCTATAATTTATAACATTTTAGGAATTAATAAGATTCATATTTCCCAAGTATTCTCCAGGCATCAGCTATTTCACTGCTGAAATTTATGGAGGGTTAGGATTAAAAAGAATCCTATTATTTCTAAATTAACACTGTAAAATCACTCTAAAAAATGCTGGGTTGTTTTAACCCAACTTTGGATCAAATATGGACAAACCCAGCCACTGGGTTAAATTTTTTTCATTAAAATTTTAACCCAATGTTTGGGTTTGTCCATATTTGACTCAAAGTTGGGTTAAAACAACCCAGCATTTTTAGAAACGCCCGAGTGGGAAACATTCACGGTAGAAAATTCAGATAAATAAATGTTGTCATCCACCATGTCATCCAATTATATAACTCCTGGACACGGTAGTCAGCATTTACAGTAGCCCTCAAACCGTATTCACTTTATAGCCCTTAATCCTGTAATTGTGGACAAATGTGGGCACAGAGGACTCAGATGTGATCTTAATTTTTATTTATTATAAATGTTATATCACTGAATTCGATAAAGTTTTGTCTATCTATGTATGGTGTTTTTTATTCTTATTTTGGGGGTATTTTTGAATTTATTTACTTCAAAAAGTGACATATTTTCTATGTAAATTATGCTTATTTTTATGTTTAATTTTTTTAACTACATTAAAATATCATTCCAATAAGTTCTTAGAGCTAAAACCTAAAGATGAAGTGACTTTGCTGTCACCTGGTGTCTTATTTTGCTTATTTTAGAATGCTCTAAATGACAGTTTTTCCCATTCATTTCTTTGCGTGAAAAAAAAAAACTCCAAAAAAACTTGTATTTGGGGTTTTGACCCAAATACAAGTTTTTTTGGAGTTTTTTTTTTTCACCCACTAAACAAAAAAATGTGTGTGTTCAGGAGGCAAACTTAGGAAAAATAGCCAAGTCGTGGAAGTTTTTTTTTTTTTTTTTTTTTTTTTTTTTATAATTCAAAACTATTTGCCCACATTTGTCCAGAATACGGTTTTAGGGTTAAAAGAGTTTTATTCCCTGGAGGCAGCAACGTCTTCGCATAATTTTGAATATTCGTTAGGTCATGGTTGCGTCACCTCAAAATCTCCCTCGTTCGTCCAGTCACGCCACCTGATTAATATTCATGACCCAACCCGTCCTCATGTGATTCGCAAATGCACCGCATTCTCAGTGACCATCAGTAGGAGGGCAGTTTGGCGCGATTGGGGTGTTGCTGTTGTGGTTTCTGTGTTATCCTCCTCCTCCTCCACCTCTTCCTCACTCACTGCTGCTGTTTAGCGGGGATGGCGGACGCACTCACTGAACAGCTAACGCTAGACTCATTCGGCCACAATTTTCAGGTTTGGATCTTTTTTTTAACATAATATATGTAACGTTATATAAATAGTGTTTTACATGAGGTCAACTATATCTTCAGCTCGCCGATGTAACCTGTTTGTCATGTGATAAAGTGGCTTCTTCACTACTGTCTATGCTTCTTAATCGATTGGGTCGCTCGGTTCGCGCCAGGTCGCAAAAACAAACGTTTGTAACGTTAGCTAGCTACTTAATTCTGTAAGCGCGAGTTGTATCTATTAAAACTGGGTTTCACTTACTCAAAAAGAGCATTTCTTGGGTTAACTCTGCACTGTCACAATTACGATGACATTACTACAGTATTTCAGTTCTCTGACACTTGTTGCTTTTTTTCGACACTCATTTTAGTTCATGTTCTTCTCTTAAAGGGATAGATCACTCAAAAAACGAATTCTGTAACGTTAATTTATTCCTGCTCATCATGTTCAGACAAACTGACTCTCCTGGGAACGTAAAGATAACCTTAGATTTCTCATTTTAATTGCATGTCTTTTCCAAACAATGAAAGGGAATGGTTATCATGCCTACTATTTTGCAATACAGAAGGAAGTTAGGGATTGCTAGAATTTTTGAATGAACGGTCATTCAGCATTGACTAGCAGCTAACGTTACCGTTGCTTTAAATATAATATTATGCTAATGTGTCCAGCCCTCGGCTACTCTTCTCACCTATTAAAAACGTTGGTAAATATAAATTCCTATAACGTCCTCCTTTATTCTCATTATTTATGTATATTTTAATACAGCTCATATATAAAGTTACATTTTCTGGATTTCCCACTCAGCAGCCAGATGAAAAAGACCAAACTTGACCAAATGTCGCGAGTCACGACACTAATATCTTTGACATGAGTTCATCCAACCTAACCTACTATGAAGAAAAACGTACGCTGCACACAGCTGACGTCACGAGTTTTCCCTGCGGCGGGAGCGCTGTCCGTCTCGCGCGGCTTCTGGAATGATCGTGTCTGTATTTTCTTTCAGTTCGTGGACCTTCAGGCGCTCCACTGCTCCCGTCATGTACTCACACGCATAGCGACTTGCCTTAAAGCGGGCTTTTAGACTTATTTGTGAGTCTCAAACTGTATTTCGTAGTGGAAATGGGGAGATGTTTTGAAACGCATTAGTCATGCGAGGCTTGTTCAGAGTGAGAAATCTGATATGAGCACACTGCAAGTTTTAGAGCTTGGGTTCACTTCCTCTTTCTATGATAGAAGTTCATGTTTACAGGACATCATAGTGAACTTAAAGTCACCATGATATAAAAACGAATAATTCTTTTCTTTTTTGGAATATTGCAATATTTATTATGATGTATCCGTTCATATAATAATAATAATAAAAAAAACACATGTGCCCTTATAATCCTTAATCAAAATAACTTCCCACTTCCTCTTGCAATGACAGCAAACCACAATCAAGTGATTCAATCAATTCTCTATGCACAAAATCAAGCCCGCCCTAAATTATTTCCTGTTCGAGAAGCCGGTTTACTTGGATATAAGTCACTATAGAGAAGAAAGTACTTCTGTTTCATGCTGACTTTTAAATATGATGATAATTTAGTTATACACATTAAATATTCGTGGAGGAGCGAATAAAGCAAAAAAGAAGATAGTCGCATGCATTGTCATGCATGTTTGTCAATGACAATCTCTGGCTGTTGTTCACTCCAACTAAACTAAACCATGGCCATTAAAACAATCTAAAATAGACATTTTTACTATCATCAGGGTAATAACTACAGTCCCATGAACCATTGCAAACAACATAATAATAAAAAACAATAGATTTTATGTTTTTTTTTTTTTTGTTGTTGTTACAAAATATGCATATTATGTACTCAAAGAGTTTGAGAATGTAGAGAGACTGACTCAATTACCTCAAACATAGTCCTTCATTGGATTGGATAGGCGCTAAAGAGATATTATTGGGCATGATTTGCTTGTTGTCATTCTCTGATTGGTGGATATTTGTTTGCTGGATTCCACTGTATGTGGATAAATAAAGCAAACTAATGGCTTCAACAAAAGCATATACCATTGATTAGCTACAGTGTTGCTCACGGTAGATCTGTTATCATTCAAAATGGGATTTTTTATTTTACCTTCTTTTACCTTCCGGTGAGGTCGACTAACAGCAGATGGAGATTATGCGTCAGCACTCTACTGCTATTCCTGCAGTTCCCGGATGTAAAATGTTGAATTTTCTGTAGTATTTGAAACACTGAATTTGTGGAAGCGAATTCGTAAAGCAAAATGAATGGGCCGAAAATTGCATGTTGAAGATTTATAGTTGTATTTTTTTTACGGAATTAATATTTTGGAATTGGAATCTGAAATGCAAATATGGATCATTGACTTTTAACAATGAAAAAGTGTGTATAATGCACTTTATATGTGTCTAGAAGCACTGGAACATTGCTATTGTGTACTATTATCACTTTGGTTTAAGCGTACATTTCTCTCTCTTTCTTTTTCTCAGATAACCAGTAGCACTCTGGTATCTGGTCAAGTGGAGAACCGTGGCCCGTTTTCTCATGCCCCCAACAGTGCCTCCCAAACCCCCGCAGGTACAGCTGCTATATCCTTCCAATCTTGAAATCATTTCAAAAAAGAAAATTCTAACAGAGTACCCAAGATCTGTCATATAACATCTGCGGTTTTGTGTTTTTTACTTTAGGATTAGGAATGGAAAGCAGTCAGCCAATCAACATCACCGATGCGGCTACACGCCGGAAGAAGAAACGCAGAACTCGGGCCGCGGACAGTTTCACGGGCAAATTTAGCGGTATTATACCGTCATTGCAATATAAGGACAATACAAAAAAAATATTAGTCTATATATTGTGTTCCTGGTGTTTATTTGGTTTACTCTCAGCATTATTCAGTATTCATAAATTGTTATCTTGCATCATCATTACTTCAGGATGTTTGATTGCATTTCCTGACTACATTTCCTGATTGGGTAAGGTATGAGTCAACTCAAAAGTGTGTGTGTTGTAGATCTGTACAGGCTGACGGATGAGCTGCTGGGTCAGGGCGCTTATGCTAAAGTCCAGGGCTGTGTGTGTTTACAGAATGGCAATGAGTATGCTGTGAAGGTGGGAGGATTTTTATTTTTATTTTTTAGATAAATATTGCATTTTTTCGTTGTTAAAACAAACATAATAAACCTTGTGTGGTTATGTTTCTTAGATAATTGAGAAGAAAGCTGGTCACAGTCGCAGCCGAGTTTTCAGAGAGGTGGAGACGCTTTACCAATGTCAAGGAAATAAGTAAGATCATATTCCACTATCCGCTTGTTAATTCTAGAATAGCGAATTCTGTATCCGTGTATAATTCTCCACTCCGTTTTCCCGTAGTATTACAACATGCCTTGAGTGTATATTTGCACGTTTTGTGTTCGCTTTTGGAATCTGAAGGGGGGTTTTTTTAACCCGGAAACAGTGGTGTCAGACTTAACAAGTGGATAGCCGTTATACTTAATTAAAAGAAAATAATGTACTTTATATAAAGATTACTGTATAAATAATTGATTGTTGTAGTTAGTACTGCATCCATTGTGTGTTCTTTACAGGAACATTCTGGAGCTCATTCAGTTTTTTGAAGAGGACAGCTGTTTTTATCTGGTGTTTGAGAAGTTACGTGGAGGTACAGTTATATTGGATTGAAATACAAATGCAGTCTCATTCTCAGTTAGGTTTTTTTTCCTAATGAATTTTCTCTTTTCCGCTCAGGTTCCATTTTAACACACATCCAGAGACGAAAATACTTTAATGAGAGAGAAGCTAGTCATGTGGTCAGGGATATAGTACATGCACTGGACTTTCTGCACAACAAAGGTAAATAATAGGGGCATTCGCAACCTACCAGGGTGGTTCCCCGAGAACTAATGGTTCCCATAGGAACTTTTTCCTGTTGCGTTCGCACCGCCAGTAGGAACTCTGAAGTGACATAAACCGCGCCTGTTGTTGTGACTTATTTTGGCGGCATGGTGGGCCTTTAGTGTACGTTCACACCAGTCATTCATTTTCAATGGAAGCTGGCTTTTCTCAGCTGCAAGGAGCGTCAAATCCATCGGCGTCGCGTTTTGAGCATCAATGAGAAAGTTGAAAGAAGCTCAACTTTATGGTAATGAGCTGTGACGCGGTTCAGTGGCAACTTAAGGAGCGGCAAAACGCCAGCAACCAATCGGAACCAAGTCGTCCTTCACGGTTGTTGATTCAGGAGAAATATACAATGTAAACTTTCGTTCCTACGAAAACATTAGTTCCGAGAAAATGGAAGAGAAGCTAATCATCGCTGTTCCTGTGATTCCTACTGGTTTCGTATCATTTATGACATGACGTTGTTTGCTTATAGGGACCGCATAAGCGCAACTTTTATTTGAAATATTTACGAACGCTCTCTGTTAGGGATGGGCAACGATTAATCGCATCCAAAATAAAAGTTTGTGTTTACTTGATATATGTGTGTGTGGTGTGTATAATTATTTTGTACATATTAATACTAACACATGTATGTATATATAAATGTGTTCTTAATATATCAAATATTTATATTTATACATAATATTATTTATGTATAAATATATATAAACATGCAAATATTTCTTAAATATACACATGCATGTGTGTGTATTTATATATACAAAATAATTATACACACCACACACGCATACATTACGTAAACACAAACTTTTATTTTGGATGCGATTAATCATTGCCCATCCCTACTCTCTGTTCATTATAGTTTAATCGTGACTGACTAATACGTTATTTTATCTAATCACGTATTAGTCCTGTCTAATACGTTATTAGATAGAACTGTTATACATGGAAAGTAGACAGTAAATGGAAAGGCCATTTGCGTGTACTGTGAGGTTGATGTCCAGTGTTGCTAGCTGAGCAGAAACACATCATTTTTGGCTTGGTCTCCTCAAAATTGCATTGGATTTTCTCCTCAGCGTAAAGGTTAAGAGGCCCATCTATCACTGTTTTCTATGTTCGTATAGTTAGTTTCTGGAGTAAATGTAGAGTCTTTAATCTGTGTGTTTACATATACCTGCTTTAAAAATGGCAAGTGCTGTTTCGCTTGCTTTCAGCCAATCCGCGTACACTAACGTCACGGATAGTACCTATAGCACTGGTTTAGACCCTACTTTGAAGCAGGAGTTAAATTAGTTCCTAGAACTAAAATCATTCCTAGTTCCTGCAGTGCGAACACGCCGACATCCCAGTACTTTCGCCAATAGTTCTAGGAACTATAAAAAGGTCCTTCCAGAGAGAAAGGTTGATGACTTGTGCGAATCGGTTTACTTCAGACTTGTTTCTGTTTTTCCACAGGAATTGCTCACCGGGACCTTAAGCCTGAAAATATCCTGTGTGAATATACTGATAAGGTAATGCATCCATTTTGTCTTTTAAACCCCGGGTAAACCGAATCCTGGCTTATCTTGCTCTTTTTCTCACTGCTTGAAATTTTCCCAGGGTTTACAATTAATTCTGGTCAATTATAAGATGACTCTTCACACTATACATTTATAAACCTTGGTTTAACATCCTTATTTTTAATTTGCAGTGTCTGTGTCATTGATTTGATTACTCTACCTATTTAAATAAAGGCTCTGGCATTGGGCATCTTCATTATGTATTGCAGACTGTACTATCAAGTTTTTCCTGAATGGACTTTAGACTAAACAGTGAAACAGTCTCTGTTTCCCCTCAAACTCTGAAACTGTTTATACAGCACGTGTTTCTGTGACTGTCCAAAGCATGTGAATATGAGGCATGTGATGGGTGTGTGCCATTAAGCATCTAGAAGTGCGAAACATTCCTTTACCCGGGGTTACAGGCAGGGTTTTGATCGACTAAGACACAAGAATGATCATAGAACAACGACTTGCAAAGTTAATTAGATAAATGAATAGATTATCATTAGGCTTTCCGGCTCATATTAATCCAAACTTCATCATCCCATAATATGGTTATCTCACATGTGTAAATGTTTAATTTGAAATATTTTATTTGACTCTCTAGACTCTCCCCATGCCTACCGAGCTTGACTATAGAAAGAAGCAATATTCACAAGTTCTCACAGCATTTGTAGATTAAACTTGAAACATGAGACAGAAAAGAGAGAAAAGGAACGATATATCTGAGTCTTCTATCAAGAGTATGATGGAAAGAGGCAGGGGGCCTCTGCTCAGTAGTTATCTACGGCCTTGCATTTGAGTGTCTCAGATAAACAGTTCAACAGAGGTCATGCAGATTTTGACTGATAAACCTTCAGTTTGTCCCCCTCTTACAATCTTCATAAGCACTTAACCTTCTCTAGAAACATTTACTCTGTCAAAAGCATCATATCGAGCAGCAATAAAAGTAGTCTTTTTTCAATAAATGCATAAATAGTGTTGATTTACATATACATGAATGTCAAAAACGGTATCTTTCATGATTAAAAAGTTATCTAAGGAAATATCTGTACCACATGCAAAATTAACTATGTATAAGCTGTAGCACAAGTCTGCAAGAACTACAAAATGAAGTCTCTTATGTTCACCAAGCATTTATTTGATCAAAAATACAGTGTAAACCGTAATATTTTGGAACAGGTTCAGGAACGACAATTCACCATGACGTCAGAACAATAATAGACGTTCTTCCGGGTGGCAAAAGCCGAAGCGTCCCTATAGCAACAGTAGTAAATTGCTTGGAGGGAGACACACCGTCGTCAGTAGCCTAATCTACATTTCAACAGTTGATTCAAAAACAGACGTGGTGGAAATTCAGACATAATTTAACACGATCATTAGAGCTTAGATTCTTTGATCTAGAGACGTGCACTCCCAACGCACAAGACCGCGGCACGGGGCTATCTGATGGCCGAGTGCGAGCGGTAATGCATTCACTGTGTGTGTGGATTGCGGGAGAATAAAACGATTCACGGGACCCCCGCAAACTAGAAATATCTATGAATAAAACAAATAAAAACTAATACATTTGCATTCATCTGTTGCAGAAAAGCAACAAGAACAACTAAAACAAAATAGAAATGATTTACATGGCAGAGTTTCTTTTTATAACATGACTGCAGCCGTGAGCGATGTGGCCAATCACAGACATATGTGTTGATTTATTGAACGCAATGGCCAATCAGAAGCATTTACTCCTCACCGCTCAAAAGAAAGTAGCCTAACATAGAAAGTAATAGAAATTAACTAAGTTAGTTGAGAACGTCAGTTATATAACGACCCACGTATTAAAAATGGTTGGGTTTAAATTGGGCTCAGGCTCATAATTAGAAATGACATGCACTTTTGACGACGACCACTCGCTTTAACCTCCTCGCCCACAGGTTCCGCTGGATAGATTGACTTTTTTCTGAAGGAAATCGATAAAAAAAACCTACACCTTTTGCTGTATATCTGATGGCGCAACCCCAAACACAACATATTTTCGCCATCATTTGAACTTTGATCAACAACAATGATTTTAACTGTGTAACTGTTCAGTTGCCGGCTGGATCTCTTCAGTTAGTCAATAGAAGCCGCTCGTGTTCTGCCACCCGGAAGGATCGCGCTGCCTATTGTTTACAAACATTCTGAAATGCCCTACAAGTTTAAATGAACTCTATTTGAATTATATATTTTTAGCATCATTCCTCTTAGCATTCAAAAATGATTTTTTTCAACATCATTCCTCCAGGCTTCAGTGTTCTAATATGCTGATTTGGTGCTCAAGAAACATTATTAGTATCAATGTTAAAAACAGTGTTTGCTGCTTAAGATTTTTGTGTATATTTTCAGGATTTTTTTGTAACATTATGAATGTCTTTATTGTAATATTTAATCAATTTAATGCATCCCTAGCTGCTAAATAAATATTAATTTAAAAAACTCACTCACTCACTCACCCCCAAACGTTTAATCGGCAGCACATGTATGTTTAAAATCGTGCCAGTCTTAATTGTAATGAGTTTGTTGCTTTCATTAAGGTTTCTCCTGTGAAGATTTGCGATTTTGACCTTGGGAGTGGAGTAAAGCTGAACAGTGCCTGTACCCCAATAACCACCCCTGAGCTCACCACACCAGTAAACACAACCTCAGATTTGTTCTCAATGCTTTTAGCACGCTAGAACTGTGTAATAGTAGCGCTGTGGTGTTGAGTAACACTGTTTGAGAGGTGCGTTCTCTGCTTTAGTGTGGCTCAGCAGAGTACATGGCTCCCGAGGTGGTTGAGGTCTTTACGGATGAGGCTTCTTTCTATGATAAACGCTGTGACCTCTGGAGCCTTGGGGTCATTCTCTACATCCTGCTTAGCGGGAGCCCCCCCTTCACTGGCCACTGCGGCACCGACTGCGGGTGGGAACGAGGAGAGACGTGTCGTGCCTGCCAGGTAAGACACGTGCTCATTTGAATAAATGTACAGAATTCACTTATCCATGTAGAGACATTTGAATTGTTGTTCTCTCTTGTTCAGAACAACCTTTTTGAGAGGATTCAGGAGGGGAAATATGAATTTGGGGATGGAGTCTGGGCTCAGATCTCAGCCGATGCCAAAGATCTGATCTCGCGGCTGCTGGTGCGAGATGCCACTCAACGGCTGAGTGCCGCCCAGGTCCTGAAGCATCCCTGGGTGCAGGGGGTGAGTCTTCTGCTCTTTTTTAGTTTTCTTGAAGCCTTTTTCATTTTAAAATTAAATGAGGATGAACAATATGAAAGTGTGGTAGACAATAATTGTACTTTTTTGCATTGTAACCTTTTAAATAAAAATAAATAAATAAAAATTAGTTTCAAAAAATAATTTTATTCTGAAAGGCCACATTAAATTGATCAAACGTTACAGTAAGGACTAATATTGTCATAAAAAAACTATTTAAAATAAACTACTGTATTTTGATCTTTCATAAAATAATTAATTGTCGTTTTCACAAAAATATTAAGCTGCACTGTTTGATTGTTAACATTGATTGTAATAAGAAACTGTCAACTTTGATGATAATAAGAAGAAATGTTTGTCTTGTGCACCAAATCAGCATATTAGAATGATTTCTGAAAGATCATGTGACACTAGAGTAATGATGCAAAAAAAAATCAGCTTTGCCATCACACGAATAAATTTCATATATATTAAAATAGAAAATGTTTTTAATATTACACAATATTACTGTTTTTACTGTATTTTTGGTCAAATAAATGGGGGTTTTGGTGGGCAAAAGAGACTTCTTTCAAAACACAATTCTTACCAACCACAAACTTTTGAACTGTAGTGTATATTATACAAACAAAATGTGACTATATATATTATATGTAGGTCTGTCAGTACAACGCAAACTCATTTTAACGACGTCAATTTTTTATCGCATAATTAACGGTCTTTTTGGGCTAACAAACTTTGTAGTTAGCTTTCACATGCTTTTGCAACAGGACGCGGCATGCGCACGCTGCGCTATGAAACCCATTCATTTCAATGGCTTGTGCCGCTCGAGGACGTTTTGTTGCTTCGTCGACCAAGCGCAAGCAGATTTAGCTAGACCAAAACAACAGGCACGCCGCACACACTCGTTTGGGCTTGCGAGCCGGCCAAATAGTTGGTTAACGTTACGTTTTGAGTGGATGATGAGCGCGAGACGCTGAAATGGATGCCAATATGATTCTGAATGGAAAGTTTACTTTTAAAAAGTTGTCAAATGGTTCAATTGACAAGACCGAAGTGATCTGTGTGTTTTGTCGTTGTGAACTGAGCTATCATCATCGCAGCACATCTGAAACACCGCTTGATGATGGCCAAGCACACACGCACGCACACACACAGATGATGCGAATTCTCCGCCCCCTCGTCAATATCAGGACCTCGTCAGTATTTCTTTCACCCTTTTATTGATGGACAGTGTTACATTGTGTGAGAGATTATTTGCTCCAAGTGAGAATGTTAATGTGACTTTGAACACGGTATATGCCAATGTTGTTTTCAATAAAAAATATTTGCACAAAGCAAGCCAATCCACTTTTCCATGTTGATAAGAGCATTGATTAAAATGAGAAAAAAATAATGGGACAAAAAGAAATCAAGAGACATTTAGAATAGCTAAAAATGTGCGATTAATCGCGAGTTAACTGTGACATTATTGCGATTAAATGTTTTATCGTTTGACAGCACTAATTATATGTATTGTATTTAACAGAATGCACCTGAAAGAGTTCTTTCAACTCCTCGTGTTCTACAAAGGTATTTGATTTGATTCAGTATTTAGTATATTTTTCAGTTTCTGTAATGTTTCTAACCGCCGCTCTGGTTGAACCCACAGGAACTGCAGCACTAAAGACCTGACGCAGTTTGCGGCTGAAGCCATCGCGTTCAATCGACAACTGTCCCAGCAGGAGGAAGAGCAGGAGGACTTCTGTGCCGTGGTCTGCTCCATGAGGCTCTCTCCTCCCTCCAACTCCAGATTAGCCCGTCGCCGAGCAAAGTCTCAAGCACTACGCACCAACACCTGATGCCTTCCACAGGTGCTCCAGCGTTACAACCCTTCATGCAAGTGCATTCTCTGGCAAACGGAATGGGTTCTTGAACGAACCGTAAAGCAAACACACGTGTGTATGCACCACAAGCTCAGTGCTACCAACCAGTGGCACAGGAACAGACTAACCTTAAGTATACAAACCAAAAACATGCAGCTCGGGTTGATTGTCTTTCTGTGTAAAGTGAGTTTTGGGTGTTTTAGGCATCAGGTTTAGGTTTTTTTTTATATTTATTTTTACTCAATATTTATGGCTGGTGGTGTTTTACAGTCGGATATAAAAAGGATGGTCTGCTTTGAGGGAATTCACTGATGTTTTAATGTGAATGTAACAACATCAGTGAGGCTTTTTAATCTATTTTAGCATTTTTTTTTAAAACACTTAAGTTACTGTAAAGCACTGGACCTCTTGCTTTGTCACTTTTTTATTGTTTTTTGTTAACAAAATTGTAGTGTTTATAATTATTGTTGAGTGAACAATGTTTTGGTTAATTTGAGATATGTAAAGCCAAGCTGCCTGACAGTAACATATCTTAGAAATACATAATGAAGTGTATCATTATGTATGGGAACACCATCAAGAGGCATGCTGCTTTAATGAGGGTGTTCATGAGGTATTATAGACGTTTGACCAGTTACTTTATAAGCTCAAACAGTTAGTAAATATTGCACAGTATTTTTGTCTTTTCAGATGATTATATTTTTTCATTTAATGTATATTTTTGCATGGTTCTTGCTAAGTGTCTTTTAGTGTTGAACATTATTTTGTTGAAAATGTGAAGTATTTATCTATGCATCAGGGCAATGAGCCAATCTGCAGCCGACTCAGTTATTAGGTGGAGTAAGTTTTATATTTTTAGTTTGCATTCTGTGGAAATTGTGCCATTTTGGGGGGCAGAGCTCCTGATTAGCCAGATTACTAAATTACCTCTCAGTTGACTTTTGTATTATCAAATTATCAAACATGCACAGTTATTTTTCATGTTATTTGTGGTCTGAAATGCTACTTGAGGTTAATGGTAAGAAGTTTAGTGGTAGTCCATGTATGTGTATTTAAGAGTATGTGTTGGGAAACATTTACAGGGATGACACCAGAGGGCGCTACCTCATTTTAATGGCTATGTTTTCAGTACTCTGCTTGTTTGATGCTGTAATGCAGTGTCTTAGTCTAAATCCAGATGTCTATGGAATGGCCATTTAAACCCTAAGAACTCTGGAACAGATCTGAGGTGTTCATTTGGTTTTCCAGTTTTGAGAAATAAAGCAGTTTGCACTGAAACCTGGCCAATACTTGAGTCTTTAAGATGCCATAGAGCAATTTACTGTACACTGTGATGATCACTTGCCTGCTTTTATGTGGGGTGCTTAACATTGTGGATAGCAAAAGAAATAGTTTATTTTGAATTAGATGAGTATGATTATACTATTAAAAACTAGCAATCATGAAGATTTTAGATTAATTTTTTTTTTGTAAACTCTTCGTCGTTTCTTTTACTGTACCTAATCATGTTTTGCCATCACTAGTTCATTTTTACAAATTATTTTAAAAGATTACCATTAGCGAAACAAAAGGCTGTTTAATAATGCCCCCAGTTTCACAGACAAGACTTAGTCCAGACTAAAATGCATGTTTCAGCTGTTTTAACTGAAAGCAACTTGCACTGACATATCTTAAAATGTTTTTTTTTTTTCCTAAGGCACATTTATAAAAGCTACTTAAATGTCCCAATTGAACTAAGGCCTAATCCTGGTTTAATTTAAGCCCTGTATGTGAAACCGGACCTTGTATAGTTACTATTAGTATGTCTCACTGCTCCCAAATTAAGTGATTTTTAAAAATCACCATCCAGAAATTAAAGCACATAAGTATGATGATGGATTTTAAGTGTGCACTTCTATGGAATAAGTTTGTCCATTTTTATATTTAATAACAAGGCCAGAAAACATTATGGTACTCCTTGTAAATAATTTTTAATTATTCCCTGCAAAATGTACCTCATGTAAATGATCTGAATGAACAGTCGTGCTTATATCTTCACTGTTAGCACCTGAACTCGAATAAACTCAATAAAGAAAAGCACAGACGACAAAGAGTACTATCTTTAAACCTTTCCTCGAGGCTTTCTTGTACTATAGAGCGTGTTTTCATCATTTCTCGCCTGCCATGAGGAGATGAAGGGTTCTCAAGTTTGAGCAAAAGCTTGGAGTGAGATCACACGTGGTTAGGGGAGGAGCCATAATGAAGCCCCGCCCCACCCATCCCCGCCCCCAATTTTACCCATTGTTCATAATTAACCAGAACAAAATAACAATTAGTAAATCTGATAAATGACAGAGCAATTCATCACATCAAATATAATCTTTAATGCAGTATTACAAATATAGCTAACCAAAAATATAACAAATTGCTCCAAACAGTTTCAAACAAATCTTTTTGCATTTTGAATCCCACAGAATCTAGACGAATGATTTATTCTTGTGTGGTGGGACATTGAGAACAAATGGACAGATTAGAGTATTAAAGGTGTGTGTGTGTGTGTGTGTGTGTGCACAAGAGTACATACTCCAGCTTATGAAATGTGTTTTGTGTTGTAAGTGTTTGTTGCACATTTTGATGCCTTGATAACAGGGGTAGGGGGCTCCCACTTGAAGCACTGTGGCTCGATGCCAGACATTTTCACTGTCATAATGGATGACAGTGTTCCGTCCAGAGCCAACCTGTTTCTGGTTTTGGTTTTGTTCAAACCTACAACAGAGAACACTCTCTCGGCATCTGCATTGGAGTGGGGAAGAATTAAAACCAGTTTGGCAATCTTTGACAGCCTTCCAAATCGGCTCAAACCGGTCACCTTTGAAAAGAAAATTAAACATTAGATCTTAAAGGGTTAGTTCACCCAAAAATGAAAATTCTGTCAGTATTTACTCACCCTCATGTTGTTCCAAACCTCTATGTGTTTATTTGTTCTGCTGAACACAAAGGAAGATATTTGGAAGAATGTTTTAATCAAACAGATCTCATTCCCCATTGACTACCATGAGATCTGTTTGATTAAAACATTCTTCCAAATATCTTCCTTTGTGTTCAGCAGAACAAATAAACACATAGAGGTTTGGAACAACATGAGGGTGAGTAAATACTGACAGAATTTTCATTTTTGGGTGAACTAACCCTTTAACTAAATGTCAAAAGGTGTGTAATATCTCTTACCCTGTTTTTCATTGATGACATATTCCCCCAAAAACTCTCAATGTCGAAATTGGCTGGGTCTTGGGACATGGGGATGTCCATCAATTGATACTCTAGGAACTCTTCGGTGATCTGATCATGCTCTTGGGGTCCCTGATAAGGAAGCAGTTCGGCAAACCTAAAAAAAAAAAAGAACACAATGTGCACTGAACTGTTTAAGCTGATGTGGAAGAAACAACAGGATTTGTTTTCTGAACAACATCAAACTTGACAATTTATTAAAAAAAAATGTAAGAAAATGTAGTATTGGAAATAAGGAATAATAAATAAGTAAACCCATACCTGTCGACAAAGTACAAGGCATCTTCAACACTGCACTCAGTCCTTTGCTGGACATCAACAAATTTCGAATGCTTGAGTAGGGCCTCTCTCAGGGGTAGTTTGTCCAGTGCATATTCCACTGCTCTCACCAGAAAAGCCTGTGCTGCCTGTTGGAATCTATGCACCTGTTGAGGTGTTATATCTCCTGCATCAAGGAGCCGATTAAGCCTAGCTCGAGTTGTGAATCCAACATTCAGCTTTTCTCCTACCAAAGAGATAAAGCAGTTCTAATTAATAGTTAATAAGAGTAATATTTATTTATTTTTTACTGAGTTTATTAACAACTTAGAACAACCACAATTGCTAGCTTGAATATCCCACTTTAATATAAGTAAATCACATCACATCAGTGACATCTCATAACTGAATAAACTCATAAACTCAGTTATAAACAAACTCATAACTGAATAAAAAGGTCTTCTTATAAAAAGTATCTGTGTTCAGGGTGTGAGTGAAGTATGTGTATCTGCTTATGTGAAACTTGGGAGCATTACCTGGCAGTTGGCTTGCTGGGTCCTTGTAGTGGATGTCATCCAGTTCTCGACACTGTAGTGCTGCTGGCTTTAGAAACCTTGCGCACAACTTGCGAACAAACTTTGTCATCTACAAAGATGTATTTCAGAAAGCAATTTTCATACCATTTGAAAAGACATATCAAAAACAAATGTCACATCTAATATTATAAGCAGAATCATGGGTTAGCCTTCCATTTTACCTCTTCATGTAGAAGAAATATGGATGACCTCTCTCTTTGGAGGAGAAGGTTCAAGGTTGAGAAGGCTGGTAATGTTGCTTGATAAAAGAGGAGGTACACTTCCGTAAGTGGGTTGGAAAATGCATCCACCAGCCTTCGGAACCTTGGTTGTTTCTCATCTGTGAATAAAAAAGTACAGGTTATGCACAGTACAGACATTTATGTTTCTTTTTTTGTGTGTGTGCAATAATCTTGCAACAGCGTAATGAAATATTCAGCCTACCTAAGGACTTGAAGTAGCTAGTGAGTGGCTCATACCGCTGCAGAATGCGATTCACACAGCTCTCCAGGCTCAACCATCGAACGGAAACATGCTGTAGCATTTCCATATAGTCACTTTCGTGGAGGTCACAAAATTCTGTGATGAAAATATATAATCCATTATATCAATTCAAAGAAAATCTTCTGCATTGCCATTGCATGCAACAGGAGCATGTTAAGTAACAAACCTGACAGATATCCTTTACGGTTGGTGCTTCCCCTAAACCAGTATGCAACATCCACACACAGGTCCTCTGGATCAAATCCAGTTACCTGCAATAAAGGACAATTTAATCACATTCCAATTAGTTACATATTCATTACAATCCAGCACAGCAAACTATTTTACATGGCATTACACAGCTACTGTAGGTCATTGACATTATCAAACTTACATCCAAAAACCTCTGCCCAGCATGTTTGGCCGTGTTGTGGATGATGTGGCAGGGGCACCCATGAATGTAAATGTTTCCATTTTCATTGAGTGCTCTTGATGAAATAGAATTTTTTGCTCCTGTGTTGACAGGTGCATTGTCAATGGACAGACTTGCACAGTTACCCCATGAAATAGCATTTTTCTGCAAGACTTCATTCATCTTTTGAAAGATTACTTCAGCTGTGCCACAGCTACGGCCACTGGTGGTGCACATATCTAGAAACCTATGGACAACTTTGTTAGTGTCACTGTCATATATCCGCACAGTGAGTGGATTCATTTTATCTCGACCTGCAAAGACAAGTTGCATGTTTTACATAATTAAAGTCACACATCTGTACGAAATTAAGTGTGTGTATGTGTGTGTTCTAGGAATGGGTTCCAGAATATACTTAAAACAAACAAATGTACTGTTTACAATAGCTGTCAACATTATACCTGTATCATTTGACCCATCTGTGATCAATGTAAAAGGATTTTCCCTCATTTTCGTCACTAATTCATTTCTAAAATATGGTGCCACTGCTCCATTGATAATGCACGCTGTTTTAGTGCTCGCACACTTAAAATCCTGTGCTGTGGTCGAATCTTTAAAGCACTCCTTTAACAATGGGCTGAAATGGTCTGCTACTGCAAATGGCACATTGTGTTGGACCATTGCAACAGCCACCTTTACCTCAGCTCTCCTTGTCTGCAACAGAAAGCAGAAGGGTTATATAAAGCACTAAATCAAGCATACCATGCAACATAAGTGTTTTTATAATTGTTAATACAACCTACAATGTTAACAAAATTCATCCAATATTACTGCCTGTCTTTTGGTTTTCATATGTACAATGTACCTTGCTCTCTTGTTCTGTTATGCCACCAACAGAAACTGGAGCATAAAACTTTGCAATCCCACTTGCTGACTGAAGTGCCTGTTCTTTGGACTGATGCCCTTTGCTTTTAACATGCCTGTTGACATCAGTCACACCTTGATGGGCACATGAATTCTCCTGTCTGCAAACAGAGCACCAGTAATAGGAGCTGCTAGTGCCTTTGGTGATAAATGGCCATTTGGTTGTCCACTCATTTTTGAATGTACACCTATAAGTGGCTGCTCCACAAGCTTTTCTCTTTCCTGCCCTGTCCACTGATTCTTCCACTGTCTCCTGTGTGCTCTCCTCTTCCACTGTCTCCTGTGTGCTCTCTTCCACTGTATCTCCTACTGTCTCACTTGGTGTCTTCTCCACCGTCTCTGCCACCACCTCGTCCACTGTCTCCTCCTCTAATCTGGCAACCTTTTTAGGGGGCTTACCCTTTGGTGCCCAAAATGACAAAATATCTTTCTGTTTTTTTCCTGACATCTTTGAAAAATACAAATGCAACATTATGACAATGATTAAATATTACCCAGAGCAATCTGCTGTAATACATCCTTAATGTAACTAGAAAGACGATTAATATTACAGTATAATATAATTTAAAATAAAATGAGTAAATCTTCATTCCTTTCCATACCCACTAACATTTATCTTAGTTTCAGATAACGTAAGATAGCCAAACTGAGCTGCAAAGTAGTTGTAGAGTTTTTGACTGCATCAATAATAATGTACGATGGGCTATATATTAAATGTTCTAGCCTAAAAAAAGGTTAGACGAGCTTCTTCCATCTTACCTTCTTCTCCATCACGACACATGTGTTCGCGCGATGTTGTTGGTTACCTAGTAACAAACGTACGGTGGCCGAGGATGTTCCGTCCATTTCCGTGTGTTCGCGCTACTGAATGACAAGTCATTGTATAGATCAGTGGTGCACGCAGCGCGCATATATGTTGCCTAGTAACGAACGCAATCTGGCGGAGATACGCGCTGGCGGCAGGAAACTTCACTTTGTTTGCCTGCGCCTCGTATACAACGTTAGAAAGCTTTCAGCCAGGACAACTTGGTTGGCATTGCCTTTTCAGCGTGAGAAATACACAGTGTGGCGTGTGAGCGTGTGAACCAATCGAAATGCGTGTGTCTCACGGCCAATGCGTGAGACTTGAGAACGACTGTGTGTCCTTGGATATGAGTGTCATTAGTACCTCGAGTTGTAACGTTTGTTTTCAAGTGAATTTATATTCTACTAACCGTGTGTGAGCAGATAGGATGCATCATGCAATATGTAATGTTTCAGTCAAACCAGAAGGCGTTTTAAGCGATTATTATGGTCTGGAGGAGGAGGATAAACAGGTTTAATGGGGTTTCATGTCGAGTAATCATGTGGAACTCGAGAGCGCCCCGTGCGGTGATGAGCAGAATGACTCGGTTGTGATTGTGAAGTGCTCAGCCTTGTCGCTCCTTCACAAACCTCCAAGAGCCAACCGATGCGCTCCTCCAGCGGCTGGGCTGAAGTTGAAGAGAGAGAGAGAAATAACATTACCTGAAACTGCTGAAGATTCTTTAAAATACAGGACAACACCGGGCAACCCTACGAAATATCATCTTCTGGTGAGTTTAAAGTCAGACGAACTGATATTTTTACCCGAAGAGATAGATAGATAAAATGTACATATATATTAAAAATATACAAAAGCCTCTATGTGCCATTTGAAATTTTCTTCTAGAATGATCGTTTTTATCAAGCTTGTATATTTAAGTTCAGTGATTTCACTTAAATGGCAATGATAATTACCTATTAATTGTTATTTAAGTGAAATTACTGAACTTAAATATACAAGTTTGATAAAAATCATCATTAAAGAAGAAAATTTCAAATGGCATTTAGAGGCTTTTGCATCTGAACTCTTATATATATATATATATTGATGTTCATGATTAGATTCCTTATGCAGACAGACATAACATATACGATTAAAACATTTTGCATAACTGTTATGCCTTGTCATGCAAACGTTAACATGTCTCGCAAGACAAGTAATAAAGTTATATGGTAGTGTAATTTCCTCACAGCCAAAGCTTTCACATCATCAGACTCATGTGGCCTTGACGGCACTAATTGAATTTGCTCGACCCAGAGCTGGTGCTGACATGACACACAAACAGGCAGGCGGATGTTTGAGGACCAGCACATTACTATAATCCTCATTACTCCTCTCCTCCTCGTTCTCTGTTTCTCTCTCTCTCTCTCATTTCTCCTTTTTTATGCAGTGGCTGAGAAGGTCAACAGTATTGGAGGATGATTTTCTCTAATGAAGATGCCCGAACTGGACTTAAGAAGTCTGGTGAGAGGAGGGCGCTCCGCTCTCCAGGGTTGCCATCCCCGGCTCTTTGCTGTGCTTGTGGGCTCTGCATCATGTTGGCGGGCATTAACATCACCCTTGTGGGGGCTCTTGCCTTTACTAAACTCCTCCCCTTAAACAATCCTCCCATGATCATCGGACCCATCCTCCTCTTGGTGGCCTTTTCATTTTTTGGAGCGTGTTGCATCTATAGTCGCCGACCCATTGGACAGACTTCTCGGCTGTCTTCCGGACGGGACCACTGGCCATTGATGAGGATGGGCGGAGCCGTGTTCGAGATGGAGACCAGTGAGCCCACTCTACAGGACACCACAGCCATTCAACTCAGTCCAACAAACTCCCCAAGCTCCACCCACCGTTATAGCCCCGCCCACCTTCCGGGTGCTCCACTCCACCCTTCAATAACCAATGAGAGAACTCATAGTTTAGACCATGCTGTGCTAAATCAAACCCTTCAACGCTCCGAACTGCCTGACTCTGCAAACATCCACAGTCACACCAAGGTCTATAAATAAGATGTTTCATGAGCACTCATGTAATAGACATAGACCACGAACAAATCCAACTTGCTATCAGCTCATAGGGTCAGTCCGACCTTTGGCTTAAGATTCATGGTGAAATAAAAAAAAACACCTCATGTAAGCATTGCAGGCTTAGAATATTATGAAAAGGAAGAATACAGGATTAATTGGATCAATTTGAAAGTGTTTTATCCAGCGCTCCCGTCCTTTCTGGCAAATCAGATCTGGCAAATTGTCTGAGCCAAAGATAGAAATAGAAAATCTTGTTTTAAGATTTAACTTAAGTCAATCTTCAGACATGACACCAATGTTTATCAAACTTTGTTGAGTCTGTTCAAGAATGTTATTATCTCTGGTCTGATTGGGTTGTTTTTAACATTAAAAATGTTTAGTCGTACATATTACATTATTATTATTATTATATTACAATATCTGTAAACGCATGAAACTAGAGATGCACAGATATTCCATTTTTGGCGGATACCTATGCTATAAGTTGCTAATTATTTTTAATGTTACGGTGATGTTATATAAAATACTGTTTAGACTTGTATGTATTCCTATTCCAAGACCAAATATATCAACATTTTCATTCCCATTACCATGCCAAAACACTCAGAGTTGTCATGACAGAAGTGAATTTAAGCATCATAATGTTGTTATTTAAAAAATGGATATTGCTTTTGAGATTCGCTATATTTAACAGAGTTATTAATTTATTCATATTTTTAAAGATTAAAAGAGTAGTTAATTTATAACAAAACTTTTGCTGATAATTTACTCACCCCATGTCATCCAAGATGCCCACATCTTTCTTTCTTCAGTCGAAAAGAAATGAAGGTTTTTTGATGAAAACATTCCAGGATTTTCTCCATATAATGGACTTCAATGGGAACCAAACTGTTCAAAGTCCAAAAGAGTTTCAGTGCAGCTTCAAAGGGCTTTAAACGACACCAGACGATGAATAAGGGTCTTATCTAGAAGCCTTCGAGTCATGACTCGAAAAAAGATTCGTTCATTTTGATGAATGAGTTCGAACAGGAGAGTCACAAATGCTCATCATCACAGAACAGAGCAAGACAAGTATTTGTGCTTCTAAAACTTAAACTATTTTATTTATTTTTTAAATGACCGATTGTTTCGCTAGATAAGACCCTTATTCATCGTCTGGTGTCGTTTAACCACTTAACTGTCACCGTCCCACAGGTGGGACGTTTGCCACTATATTTTTAAAACAATAATATCTTAGTAAATACCTTAAATAATATTGACAAACTATATATCATTTGAAAGCTTACAATCTCTAGTTTCCATATTTGGTGACTGATTTTCAAAATATATTACAGAGGAGCCATAATTTATCAATATAAAACAAGAATATTTTCATACTCATAAGGCGTGTTCAGACCTTTATTTTAAAATAGCAGTAAACATGAAAAATCATGAAAAAATGGTAGATACCTCAGTTTGTTTTCATGCCAAAAGTTCAAAAGATAGAATCCATTCAATTATTTTGGAAAAAAAAGGTCTGAAAAGTTTGAAATATCAAGAAAAAAATAATAAATTCACCATTTGTGACGTGGCAGCTAGCTATGACTTACATGCGTGTTCTTTGTATGTGTTTCTTAGAGGTTCAATTCATATCAAAATCTGCCAAACTTCCCATGCTACTCCTGAATAGGATCTCTACTTCAGAAATTGTATGAAAATTGTGAAAATAATGGTTCATATCACTCAAAACACGAATGGAAATGCAGGCGCCCTTATATGGGCAGTAATGGAGTCTGATTGTGCCCTAGTGAAAAAGTTTGGTACTGCGCTCAAACAAAATCTTACTGAAAGCTCATTTTTTGAGATATCAACCTAAAATTTGAAACACAACTTGTTCAGATTTTTGGCTTTGATCTTTCTGCCATTTTAGAGTAGCCCAGGTTTTGAAAATATATATTTTATGTAAAATATGAATAATTAATATTTTTACATTGTACATTTTCACAAACTCAAACTTCTATAACTTTTTTTCTGTTTCACTTTCTTAATTTATTTCACTTCTACAAAAATCTGCCAAATGTCTTCTTTAAAACAAGACCAATCATATATCTATATTCCAAAGCATTCTTGAATTACAAACCATTTAAGTTCGAAATGTGCATTTTCATGTCTATTCAAAAAAGGGGGGGTGACAGTTAACAGGTTAAAGCCCTTTGAAGCTGCACTGAAACTCTCATTTGGACCTTGAACAATTTGGTTCCCATTGAAGTCCATTATATAGAGAAAATCCTGGAATGTTTTCATCAAAAACCTTCATTTCTTTTCGACTGAAGAAAGACCGACATGGACATATTGGATGACATGAGGGTGAGTAAATTATCAGCAAAAGCTTTTTTAAAAGTGAACTACTCCTTTAAGTGAGCAATAAGTTTTTGTTTTTACTGTGTCTGTATGATGACACGTTCATCCCCATATTCTCTGTTCTTCTTCAGTAATTGTGGAAAATGAGTCTCATTCATGACATCAACAGCAAAATTTGATTTGACTATCTGATTGAATAATCTGCGATGAGGGAAATGACAAGCACATTCAAAAAATTAGCGCAAATATTTAAAATGTTAAATGAGGAAAGAATACGACAACTTCCTGTCAACACTTTCCAAACAGCATAATGTGTCATGCTTTTCAACAATCTGTTCCTCATGATAACCACGACAGAAAAAAAAACCTCACACCGATCCAAAAGCTACACAAATCACAACAACAACACTGTAATAATCTGCGTCAGATACACAAGTGATTGATCAAAGCCTAACGGAGCAAGTTAGATTTATATCACACAGATTACAGAAATCTCTTATCGTACAGGGCAAATATGTACAGGCAGTTCTAGCAACAGCTCAGGCGTGTTTGTTCAGTTGTACTGCTGTACCATCTGTGCACACAACACAATTACTGCTGCCGCTGAAACACCTCAGCATTTGCCACACATCCACATCAGGCTTCTCTGTATGTGTGCCTTTGGTCATGTACTCTTAATGCCCCCAAATTACAGATTACAAACATAACAGGTGCCCTTTTAAATGAATGAATAACAGAACATTAAACTAACAGATCACCCTTTCATTTAATTTTATGAAAATGTAAATGAAAACATAAAATTACACTTTTTAACATTTGCTCTCCTTTAAAAGCCAGAAGCAAAAAATATTTGTTATCACAACATATTTTCTTTTGTCAAATCAACTTTATAATAATTTATTTAGTTGAGAAAACTTATTATTTTGAATTTCTGATGGTTAAATTAATCTACTTCATTGTATTAACTCACTTTTTTTTTAATCAACTTAAAATTTTAAGGCAACCCAGGTTACTTACTTTTTTAAGTTAAACCAACAATATTTTTTACAGTGTAGTAATCACAACATGTTTTCTTTTGTCAAATCAACTTAAATAATTTATTTAGTTCAGATAACTTATAAATTTTGAGTTTCTGATGGTTAAATTAATGAACTTAAAATTTTAAGGCAACCAGGTTACTTACTTTTTTAAGTTAAACCATCAATATTTTTTCTAGTTCCCATGGGAACTAGAAATGTGCTGTAACTTGTTTAGTTTGAGTTCTGTTATAATTAGTAAATGAGTTCACCTTTTTTATTTTTTTATTAAGCATAATTAACTTTTAATTATTTGAGTAAACTGAACTTGTTTCATTTAGTACATTTTGCATAATATATTTCAAACAAAATTAATTTTATACCTGTATAAAACAATCCAATATGAAAGCTTGTCCCCCAAATTAAAAAGGTAATTTTTATCTCATCATTCTGACTTTTTTTCTCCCAATTAAATTGTGAGATATTAAGTCAGAATTATCTCAAGATTATATATTTTTTTCAGGCTTCTTTGATAAATAGTTCAAAAGAACAAAATTTATTTGAAATAGAAATCTTTTGTTACATTATAAATGTCTTTGCTGTCACCTGAATCAATTTATTGTATCCTTAAAAGTATTAAATTTTTTTAAAGCTCGGTTCTAGTCCCGGCGCTAAGGCGGCGCATTCAATTATGGGGCTTGCAGATGGAGCTATCTGGCCTATTTGGCGACGTGATTGATAAGTGCAAGGTGGCAAAGAAACATACAGAGGCGTTCCAGTAGTTTATCTCTCACCAGTTCCAACAGGCTGGCCTTTCCACCTCCTGTCCTGCGCCCAGCTCAAGGGAGGAACAGAAGGCTATTGTGGCCATAGATATCCATAATAAAGGCTAGATGTCTTACTTATGGATATCTATGGCCACAATAGCCTTCTGTTCCCAGTAGCACCTCAATGCAGTACATGAGATCCACGGGGAGGAGTCGGATCAAGATCCAAGGGGTGGAGATGGGTAGGATTAGGGTTGGGTAGGTTTTGGTGTATGTAAGGTGGGAGGAGTTGGATCTGGATCCGACTCCTCCCCAAGGATTTCATGTTCTGCAGTGAGAACCATCTCTGTTCCTGAAAAATCCCCACCAACATACAGACTGACAGCCTGTTTAGTCACAATCTATGTTTATCTATTAAACATCCATTTCATCCATTTAATCAATTTTTGGGAACAAACATTTATCCCAGTGTCACATAATCCACATTAATCATCCAGTTGTTTTTAGGGTAAAAACTACATTGGGAAATAAAGCTAGAATTATTCTGTTGGATATACACTACTGTTCAAAAGTCTCTTCTGCTCACCAAGCCTGCATTGATTTGATGCAAAATACAGTAAAAACAGTAATTATATGAATTTTAGCTAAATTTTCACCATCGTTTCTCCAGTCTTCATACATGATCCTTCCGATCTGAAGTATAAACATTTGTAGCATTATACACTACCATTTAAAAGCTTGCCGTCAGTAAGAATGTATTTTTAAAACATGTTGGGAAAGAAATTAAGACATTTATTCAGTATGGTTGCATTAAATTGATCAAAAGTGACAGTAAAGACATTTATAATGTAACAAAAGATTCCATTTCAAATAGAAACTGATCTTTTGAACTTTCTATTGATCAAAAAATCCTGAAAAATGAAATAAATGTTTATTACATAAATGTTTGTTGATCATCAGATCATCATATTGTGATTTCTGATGGATCATGTGACACTGAAGACTGGAGTAATGATGCTGAAAATTTGTGAAAATTCTGCTGCCCTCTAAATCCAGTATTACTGTAATTTAAAATAATAATTATATATATATAATTATATATATATATATATATATATATATACAGTATATATATATACACAGTATATATATATATATATATATATATACTATATATATAATTTTATTTTAAAAAATATATATGTGCATGATATTCATTCACCAGCAAAATAAATTCAGACTCCACAGTTTCGTTTAGTAGATTCACAGCCTGAAATGGATCTTCAGAGGCCACACTCAAGCTTGTATTGTAGTCGGGAAAAGACACCAAAGCAGTTGTGCACTTCAAATGGAAGAGACTTCAGGGACTAAAAGATATGAATCAGTGGAAGAATGATTCGTACCCTTAAAAG